AAGAAAAAACAAAGAAAAAACTACTGATTAACTGCACAAATTTCCGAGGCTGAAACTTCATCGAAGGAATTTCCTATGGATGACAACTTGCTGACCTAACTTTCTCATTTCTTATTTCTGACTGACCAATCAATATCATTTAATGACAAAAGAGAAACAGGAGTTTTTACATGATTATCCGACAATGAAGAACAAATTGATTTGGTCATCCTTTCAAGTAATCATGCCAAAAAAAGTGATACAAATTGATTAGATTTCTGTAGTGAAAATCATCATAAGAGTGATAATTGAAATAGGCAATGAAACAAAATTACTTTCGTCCCTATTTTCGTCTAAAATAATATCATATAATAATAACTCATAACCAGTCTTTTAACCCTGAGCTTACTGAATGTTTTAAATGGACTTGTCCAGCAACCATTTTTGGAACTATTTTTTGTTTGATTGGGTTTTATGCCGCAGCAACACAATATAGGTCATAATTGGGGACTGTCCGGCTATACTGGTGAAGGAAGACCTGAAGTGCTAAATCTCTGTGCATTATTTCAGATATGAACCTGAGTAGAACAATTGGCATTTCGTAAGATAACTGGATAGCAAAATTCTTCACATGAAAGAATCAAAAGTCCCTGTCTTGATATTTTTGGACCTGTCCATTATAAATTTTGGGGATATCAAGATGAAAATAAGAAGTTCCTCAGCCAACAGTTAACTGACAGATATGTGCATGCTGGCCTGGCTCTTAGATAAAACTGGAGTAATACTTAAATGACAAAAGTAAATCAATTGTGGTTCCATCAGGTAATAGGTTAGATATAAGTAAAGAAATATTAAACCACCACATTAATACAAAATTTGTATTCATATCTAAAAGCAGTTCATTTGTTATATAGAACAAAAACATTCTTGGTAAATATTCTGACCCTTTTAAGAGAGACACAATAATCATAAATGGAATCTAAATAAAATCATAAAGTAACCCCATGATCAATCTGTTGGTTTCCTGAGCAGAAAATAGGAAAATATAATGCCCATTTAGGATTAATAAAACTTCTGATTTATGTCTAGAGGATTATGAACCCCAACTTCTTTAATCTTATACAAAGGCTTTCATGCCATTCTTTCTATATCTCTGAATAAATATTCCCAGGAATTCTGCTTTATTGCAGTATCTCAACATATTACAAAATTAATAAATCATATTGAGAGCTGCAGCAGGAAGAATAATGTCAATGTTAATATCACAGCCTTTATGTCAATGTCTCCTTCATTGTTTGAAGAATGAAAGTAGCAAAACTTTATATTGTATTATTGAACCCTTCTATCACTATAAACCACTTAAAATTGACTTGCCCTAATTCGAATTTTAAAGTGTCCTTTGTTAATATGTGAGGGATTATTGTTATATGCAAATGCCGAAATTTTAAACAGGCACCAGAATTATGAAGTCTGGTTACACAAGTCCCCAATGCTAAGTGATCGTAGCCTGATTTTGTCATTTTAATATTGCCAATTATCTGAATATTGAAATCAAATTATAAAATTTTTCTACAGATAATTAAATATTATTATAAAACCTATTTGGTGTTTTGTTTGCATTTCAGGACGAATACTTCAGCAAAAACTTTATGAAAATAAATGTGGCTGCTCAGAATTTCGTTCCTGTCAGCAAAGCAAGAAGACGTTTTGGACCCCAACGAGCCTATATTCCACATAACACAACATGACCTGGAAATGAGCAAGGACCAGATGGTTGTATTGCTGTATCAGCAAAAACGTTTTTCCAGCTTTACTGGTAGGTGAAGACCTCAATGCACAAATGGGCACCCAAGTCTAAGAACCACTGATGTTCCATAACCTAGCATGATAGCTTCCTCACATGAAAGAATCCAAAATCTATGTAAAAACAGCAGTGAGTGGTAGGTGGTTTACAAGACAAAGGCCTTAAAACACTCAGCCACTGACACCCCATTAACACACACCAGTATATATTTACTAATATATAATTATGATTTAAATAAAACAGCACCGGACAGAATTTTAAATGAATTATTTTCAATAGCACTGTTAAAGCATATTTTTCTCTTTTTTTCCCCTCATAAAAAAAAAATTCTCATTTATTCTGAAGTTTTATAAATTTAACCTCTGAGGTAAATTCAATTTTAAATGCCTCAATTTACAATAGTATAATGAGAGTTTCAAACAGTAGAGAATGGGTAGTTTAAAACCTATTCAATTACGATGAATGAGGTTTCCTATTAATAAACTGTTATTTTGTAAATTATAATAGCTCCAGTTATTATGTACAAATGTATAAATCATTGTCCTGAAAATAAATCACTCATGAAAGCCAAAATATTCAAACATCAAAAAACTAATATTAATTTTGCATGACCATGTTGCGACTGCCTAAAAATTTAAATGTGCTATAAGTTTTGTTAAAGCTAAAGCACCTTTAGGTCCAGGACGGAGAGATTATATGCAACAGAATTTGAATGACACATTTTTTTATCAGCCTGTTGCTAGTGTATCTTATTAAAGTTCTAATGTTTATAAAAACTGTTCCCTTAAAACAGCATTAAAGGTCATCTTACATGACCAAAGACTTCATTATAAATACACATTATGGGGTATATATAAACAACTTAATAAACTTTGCATTTCTAAAGTTTACTATAATTATTTTGTATGTTATATTTTGGGAAAACTTTCAGGGTATTTATACATACACACTGTTATAAACACATCTAAGCTCCATCTGGTATGATAACATAAATGATGGTGGTCTCTCTTAAGCAACTCTGAGAAGAACAATATGTTACTAAAAATTCTAAAAACTTCCCTATTGAACATAGGACCGAAAGTGTGTATTATTATGCAATAAAATCACTGTTTACGTTTTATATTTAGACATGTGACTTTATCATTATACATGTGACGTAACCACTAGAAATGCGATGCACTGAAAAAAGTACGAAAACAAATCAGTTGCAATTTAGCTTAATAAATGGTATGGCAGCATTTATTTGTTTATTTTATTTAATCGAAATAAAATATCCAAAGCGGTGATTTTTAATGCCTGATAAAATTACTGTTTGTCATTTGGATGCGCATCATTATATACGAATACCAAACAGTGATTTTATTTAGCGATAAAATCACTGTTTGGGATACTTTATTTCTTAAACAAAATGATTTCCCCTGTGAAATAGTGTTCTTGAAATCATGAACTTTTCAATACATTTAAGAACAGTTCATGAACTGGTCCTAAACAGTTCATAATGATTGTTCAAGAACTTATGTTCATGAACAGTTCTTCAAGCTTGTTCATGAACTGTTCATTGACATAAAAAGAACAAAACCGAATTCTTTAAAGGTTCATGAACTTAGGATCATGAATTATTGAAGAACTTTTGATGAAAACCATGGGTTCATGATTTGTCCTTTAATAATGTCACAAACTATTGAAGAACTTTTGATGAAAACCATGAGTTCATGATTTGTCCTTTAATAATTGCTGAAATAGAAATGATTACTGCTCAAGAACACTTGATGAACTAAATACATTGGTTAATGAATTTCTGAAGAACTTTTGATGAAGACCATGTGTTCATGATTTAATTGTTATTAAATAACTACAGAAATAGAATGATAACTTGTCAAGAAAAGATATAGACCTGGGTAGATTAGCACAGGCCCAAAACATTTTTTTGCATAAAATAAAGACATCAGTATTTTTTTTTATTGCTTGACCATGGAAATTCAATCAGTCACTTCTTTAATAAAATTCCCCATTTTTTACTCAACCAACTCATCTATCTATATATTGGATACTTATACTGACGTAGCAACACAAATTTTTTGGAAACTATGGTAGCTTTGTTTGAAATGCAAGTGCCTGTTGGGCTTAAAATAACACGGGAAAGTCAAAGACCGGGCCCGCGAAGCGGGTCCAGGCTTTGGCTTGCCCGGCTATAGACTACAAAAATATACTGTATAGAATTCTATACCTATCAATGAAATTTTCAGTGTCAGTTCTAGTCGGGCGCCGCCATTTACAATGTTACTCAATGATAATAGGCGGGGTATTCCGATAACGGAACAAATCTCAACTTTTCGGATAAAAGATAATTGTAGAGTATTCCGAGTGAAAACGGAAGCGGTGCATGTAATACCGAATGACACCTTTAAAACGGAAAGAATGAAAGGAATTTTTAACGACTTCCCCGTTCATAGGCTTTGCCTAATTTCATATTAGGTTTGTGAAATAAAATTTGTAGGCCTCAATGTTTTAATTGAAATTATTCAGTCATTGTCATACATGCCATAACGTCCCGTGTCCGCGACAATCCCGGAAATAAGGTGTCTGTCCCGGAGATGATTTATGTCCCAGTAAAAAATCTAAAATAATCTACATTGAAGCAAGAAATTTTACTTTTTTATATAATTTTATTGTCAAGTTTTTGTAAACTTATCTAGAACGCTAATAAGGAACAATTATCCCCTAAGTGGCCTAACAGCTTTGCAATGGTGACACTTATCCTTTGATTGGTATATCAACGTGCCCCTTCCAAATAACAATTATCGGCAATAATTTTGATCAAATAAAAGATTAATTACCCCAGTGAAGGTGTCATACACTGGCCAACTGGCCATTATAAATTAAATTTTATTAGTGGTCAAACACCGTGAAAAATACGCGCTAAATATGAGGTGATAAAATCTACAAGATTCAGTGAATGTTTCAGGTAAAGGACATGGCTCATTGTCATTACTTAACATATCTTCATTCTATTCTGTGTCTGATTGAATTAACGATGCCTAAGTACTTTAAAAGATAGAAAAACTGTTAATAATTATTGACATTCTGACTTTGTTTATGGTGTCATTAAATTTGCAAGTTGTAATTACCGGTAATAGGGCCTATAGGCTGTATGCCACTATATAATTTGAAAAAAATACGTTTGCTGATCGATGCCCCACCTTCAAATGAAAAGTGTCTCGGAAATGAGTCTAAAAATTATGGCATGTATGGTCATTGTATTGACGGCAAAAACAACGGAATTACACGAAATTATGAGAATCGAGCACATGTTGCTGACGTAGTACACTGGTTTATTGCGTAGTACACAGATTTATTACGTAGTACACAGGTCTATTAAGCGCGCAATATTCAATATTCAAAGACGGCAAAAACTTCGTCTCATATCTAATATCATCTCCCCAATAAAGACATACAACAAGAAAAGTGAAATTGCTCAAGCAAATTATCAGAAGAAGACCTTCAAAGCTGCAATCGGTGAAATTCACTGTGAGTATTATCATAAATGCACCCGTTCATTTTTTTTCAAACAGAGCCGGCGTGTTTATGACTCCTCCAAGAAAAAAATGAAGAGTCTATAATTATTTTAATGAACTTTCTTCACTTCTAAAAGCATTATTTTGTAACAATTTGCCGACTGTAACAATAGAAATAATAATTGTATTTCCAGCTCATTCTTAGTTACAGTTTAGATACTTCAACCTTACTGGAAATATTGCGTAAACGGACATTTGTCACATATTTTCGCGACCCGTTTTTATTTATTTCTTTGTTGTTGAACAGGATCAATATAAAATGAATCAAAAACAAAGCATCGTTGAAGATTGAACATGGTTCTGCTTCCCTGCAGGAAATTATTTGCTAATGCCTTCTAAAAGATAGAATCTAGTTTAAAATAGTTTTTTGAAAAATGCATGGCAGCAAGTCTTTTTTATCCCCAGACAGTTCAACACCCTGGTATGCTGACAGTTCACTACCTTAGCCAATTTTCCTTTATATCAGAAAAAAGTTTTTCATAAAGAGACAATATTTTTATATCACCATTAATTTATGTAGTTTTATAATGGAATATGATCAACAAGGAAAATAACACATGACTGACTGTATTTTTAAAGCAAATAAGATACATCCAAAATTTTAATTGGAACAGAAATCACGTTTTCTGTTGTTGTTTTTTTTTGTTGTTGTTGTTTTTTTGGGGGTGTGTTGGATTTAATCTCTCTATATATATAATATTATAGGTCCTGCTGACAGTGTCAAATGTGAAAGTGCATCGAAAATGCAGGAACTGCTGGGGGTTGTGTGGTTGAGGCTAGATCTGACGGGTAAGCAATATAGTTGAGGTTACAAGGACCCAATTTTACAATTGTCTACAGTAGAACCAGATATTTTTGCATGGCAAAATTCCTAGAATTTTAATTCAGTCTAATTTCACTAGTATTAAAATTCGCATAATTAGCATTTTCTACTTAAATATTAATGAAAAACTTATATACCCTGATATCGAGGTATAAAAATAGGTTTGAAGGGTACTATGGAAACGCATTTTTTCGTAACATTTGTGTGATGTTAAAAACTGTCATTTCAAACACAAGACGTTATATTGTTTTTTTTTTTGTTGTTATTTCCAAACTAGATGGGAGGATGAGTGCAGAAGCCTGCGTAGAAAGATTCGACGCATGGAGGAGCCAATTACTGCTTTAGAGAGTCAGAATACAAAAGTGGAGGACCCCGAATTATAAGCTGTGGAACATCTTAGTGATACTCAAGAAGTCTTGGTTACAATAGCAAAGACTATCTTCACTGTGGAGGAACTTAGAACCCACTCTAGGACTGGAAAGATGACCAATAAGTGTAAGGATTCCCCGAGACCACCACTTGAACCCTCGAAACTCAGCAATCTTGAAAGACTAGTGAGGAGGAAAACCGGTGTATCAAAAGAAGTATTTAATAAAAAACTAGAGACTTTGCAAAAGGTCATCAGAAGGAAATAAATCACAAAATAAGTGAAACATTGGAAACTGTTCTAATTTCAAGTTCTTGATTTTTGCACTTTTGAAAATCAGCAAGCTGTATTGAAGAAACTATTTCTTAGTTCTTGTTAAACAAAGATGTGTAGTTTTTAAATTTTACAAGCAGTTTTACATGTTTGTGGTTTACTTTTGAACAATATAACTTAGAGCTTATGTTGAGTACATATTGTTTAGACTTGTCAGTCCGCAAATTGATTGGTATCATCTGTCTGCTCTGTTCTTGCATTTTTCATGAATGTGAAATAATGTAAATGTAGTTTAGGAACTGTTCATGAACTGTAGTTCTTGAACTGTTCTTGTACTTTTCGTGAAGATAAAATGGCACAATGAATTTGCACTGGAAAAAGTGCTAGAAAAGTTCATGTAGAGGTAAAATTCATGAACAGTTCATAATTTACTGTAAGTGAACAGTTCATGAGCATTTCATTGCATTTTGTTCAAGAACAGTTCATGAAATGTTCATGTTTTATTGAGTCATGAACTGATCAAGAACATGGGACAGTTCAAGAACTAGGTGTCCTCTGAACTTTTCAAGAATTTGTGCCATTTTGTCTTCATGTACATCCCATGAACTATTCATGAATCTAGGTCATGAACTAGAATGAATACTTCATGAATTATTCATGAACTGTAAGCATTCATTTCACAGGGGTTAAACTATGTTGTTTTGTGTACTAGGCTTGCTGTTGTTTTCCAATCAAAGACTCATGCTTGTTAAACAAACATGAGACCAACTGGACACATGCTGACTGCTAAAGTCAGATCGAAAACAATGATCTCCATAATTTAAAATTTCGAGACAAAAAAAAACAAGAAAAAAAATCTTAATTTATTTCATTATTTTTTCAAATCTTAGTATTCATTTTTTCTGTATTCAAATAATCAGTTCTCTGTTTCCAAAATTCATATAACAATTCCTTGCCCTAGATTAATTTTCCTTATTGCATTTAATGGTTTGGCATTTGTATGATAACTCTGACATGAATGTCTGACATAAAACCTCTTATGGTCATAAAAATTCCATCAGTAAAATAGAAAGGACTCCTGTGTAATAGCCATCTGTCTCCGAATTTCTTTACAGATTCTTAAATTTCATGACAATAGCTTACAAAATAATCACCATAAGCATCTTGCACTTATAACTCCAAAAAGCATGATAAAATGGAGATTAAAGTGGAGAATGCATATATATATTAAATGTAAAATTTCCATTTTTATTACCCTCTGGTGGATGAAGTTATAAGCTAATTAAGACATGTAATGGAAGGATTTTTGAAATGTCTGGAATTGTCCTATTATGTGTCATTGACATTTGCTAGAGATGAAAAAACTAAAAGTGCTATATGCTTACATGATACCATCATTATTGTCATAATCATCATCATCATCACAATTTATGAGTACAACAAAGAGAAATTGGTCAAAAAAATTAAAGTCTTTATGTATTTTTAACTAGAGATACAAAGAAATGATATTTTCACTGTTATCATTACTGACTTATAATGTCAAAGAAATTGACTCAATTTTCATAAAACATTTTTGATAATTTAAGAGAAATCCATTAATGTTAAACTGACACAATTGATATCAATAAAAACCACAGCAGCCATTATGAGACAACAACAAATCTGGCCAACTATGTTAAAGAAGTGGTAAGCTTCATTCTTTTGTCAAAGTGACCCGACATAGATCTCAAAACATTAACACAATGCCTGATGGACAAGAAGACCAATCCAATTTACAAAGCTGTTGGTGAAATTCTTCTGGGCAGAAAATAGAAATTGACAGAATAATAACAGAATTTCTAACTCTGACTTCAATCTCAATTCCCAATGCTGCTGCTGATGGACTGAAGTATTTTTACTGCAATAAATAATGGTACTGTGTTACTGAGACAATTACATTTTTTCAGGGCTCCACTTTTCAATCCTATTTGATTTGACAATAACATTCTTTAGGTTTTCAATTTTCAGTCCTGTTTATATAATTTGACAATTACGTTTTCTGTATGGTTCCAATTTTCAGTCCTATCTGTTTGACAATTACAAAAGGGTTCCAATTTTCAGTCCTTAATTTAACTTGACAATTACATTATTTTCTTAAGGGTCCCAATTTGAAGTCTTAATATAGTCTCTCTTGACAATTACATTTCTTTTCATACTGTGTTTTAATTTTCAGTCCTATTTAACTTGACACATTTCTTTAGGGTTCCAAATTTCAGGCCTTAGTCTAACTTGACAATTACATTTATTATTATTATCATTTATTTTAATAGCCGGGTTCCAATTTTCAGACCTTTTTTACTTGACAATTACATTTCTTTAAGGTTCAAATTTTCAGTCATATTTAAGTTATGACATTTATATTTCTTTAGTGTTCCAATTTTAAGTCCTATTTGACATGACAATCACATTTCTTTTGGGTTCCAATTTCAGTCCTATTTGACTTGACAATTACATTTCTTTAAGGGTCCCAATTTTCAGTCCTATTTGACTTGACATTAGTGTTCCAATTTTCAGTCCTATTTGACTATGATATTCTGTATCTTAACTTACAATAGTATTTGCTTTTTTCTTCAGTTTTTCTTCTTCCCCTGCAAAGTAGCTTTCATACCTGTCTGAATACATAAAAGCAGTAAAAATCTTTAATACCTTTACCAACATCTTGTTCCTGTCAAAGATAAATGTAATCAGATCTGACCTCTGTCAATGTAAAGCTTTTATGCTGTCAATAGGAGTATAGAATGTCTGTGTAGGATGGTTTTTACACAGATTATTTTTTTCAGAGGCAATCAGCTCCAGTGACTAAAAGATAAATCGCAGATAACTGGCTATGATAACTTACAATATAGCTTCCTCTTAGTCTTTTATGATGGATTTATTTTCATAGAAAAACTATTATTCTTGCATAACAAGAGTTGTTGTTAGAACATTGTGCTAAACTATTCTCAGAGCTTGATAGTAAAATAAGAACCTGGATAATGTAGAATTTTGAATTAAGTAAGAAAAAGGGCTATTATTCTGTAAAAAAACATATGAGATAAGACCTAGGATAGTAACATCCTATTATCGCTCTCAAATAGCTGTGTTTATAGTTTAACCCTTTCCCAGTACTTTTGGAGATACAGCATTACCAACTTACAATTTGCACACAAAAAAGGGATGTCCATGGCATAAAACCTGACGACAAGCAGACAGAAACTGACAAACATGAATGTGGATAAGCATATAAAAATCATCTTACATTAAGATATGTCATCTATTTCTGATGCTGATTAATTTAATATTATACTGCTTCTTAAAATTAATTATCAAAGTATGATTTCTTAAGATTTTTCCAGCGTCTAGAAACACTCAATGTCATTTAATGTGCCTTGACATTTGCCATTCCAATGTTGGCATTTCATTTAAATCCTCCTTTAATCAAACAGCAATTACTGCCTCTCTTTTTCTGCCACAAATAGTAATTTTGATTCAAGGTTATTTCCTTAAAGTTTTTTCTAACAACCTGTTTAAGTTGACCCATTCTTCAAGTCTTAAGAAGGTTAGAAAAATACCAAAGGCTTAATTTAAACACCTTAAAATCATGTTACTTTTTTCTAATTGCAAAAATTATATCAATTTAAGGCAGTAAATCATTATATAACTTACAGAAAAAAGAAATCAATTTTTTAATAACCCTTATAAGTTATTTAAGGGGAATAACTGACAATCTTAAACTAAATATTTAAATCAGACTTTTGGAGAACTGACCAAGAAAACTTATTTTTAGTCTTTGTTTAAATTTTCATTTTAATTATTTGAACATACATTGTTCATTTAAATTTTAATTTTTCATAATGGCATATTTTCAAAGTATCTTGACATTTTTAAAAGCCCACCCCCAGCATGACTAAAAGAGATGGTTAAAATTTAGGAGATAATTTAAGGCAATTTCAATTGCATTTGAATTATGAGCAAACCAGCAAACTGACCTTTGACCTGATGCTCTTAAAATAAAACTATCCTAATTTGTCTTTATTTCATATCAAATATCATACATTTCAATAGTAACAAAATAAATTTTATAATACATCAATGAAACAATTCTCTAATGTTTCACTATTTACATTAAGATATTAAACATTGGATCTTAAGCCTAAAGTATTCCTTAATTCTTGATATATCAAGAATTAAGATTGGCAGTTAAAAAGTGCACAATGAAATTGTCAATATCCAAGTATCAAAAGCATATTTGTATCTGTTTCAATATTGACTTAACACTTAAGAACAATCATTTGCTAAAATTTGTCTCATTTGAACCAAGGGTAAAAAGTTCACAGATCTTCACAAGGATAGGATCAAGCAAAGCAATTAGATCTTCTATGCAAATTGCAATAACTTTAACTTCAATACCATCTGTCTCTATTTTTGATATTGGGTTTTCTTAAGATGTACTTTAGTGAGGCAAAGTGCAAAAGAAAAAAGACCAATATTCAGAGCCTTTGTTTTTAAGAAAGCTTAAAGGGAGTGATTGTGTGTAACAATGAGCCTTCATTAAAGTACAACAACAAATATGTTGATTACTATATATTCTTTATGCTGAAGATTTTAGTTTATATAGAATTAATTCTAATTTGATTGTGAGTCAGAAGCTATATTAGCTTCTATAATAGAAACACTCTCGAATTAGTTCCTGAAACCAACCAGTATTGCGCAAATTGTCAGAGTGAAAAGTTTCTTGCTCAAGGAAAGACTTGAGCCCTGATGAGGTTTGAACCACATTGCTAATGATTCTAAGATGTAACTATTCTGACATGTAAAACACTAGGCCTTTAAGATTTTTCTGAATTATAAATGGATGTGACATACATTTAGTATAATGCCTTGTGTTATGTAAAAATTAACTAACTGTTTGCCATCCAAACTACACGCCCATATACATTCATCATTTTACAGCTATATATGAATGTTAAGCTGGTTTAATACATTCTCCACATGAAAGAACCCAAAGTCCCTTGTGTGATTAATCTAATTAACAAACAGCAGTGCTGGACAATTGATATAAAGTCAGCAACCACAGATGCTCAAAATAATGAGGTAAACAAATAAAACATAGTTTGGCCAAATTGGTGTACATACAGTCACAATTCATTCAGAGTCTGAATTATATGTGCTGCAGCTAGGCATTACTCAAAGAAACATTTCACTGTAAGATAATTATAAAATATATTTATTACACTAATAATGAACTTCAATTTAAAATAATTTCTATAGTTATAATCTCAAATAATTTGGAAAAGTACAAACAAATATCATCAAACACTTTATACCAGTAAACTGTTTAAGCAGTTGCATAATTATATAAGATAATAATAATAAGATTAACAATATTGGACTTTATTTTAAAATCATTTCTATAATTATAATTACAAATTAATTTGAAATCTACAAAAAAATAATATCAAATACTTTACACTAAGTAAAACAAGCATGCATTAGTTTTAACAGACTTCCTTATAAGGAAGTGAGAAGTCACATGACGCGGTCAGCATTTTATTGCTCGATCAATAAGTTTCTGTGTCTAATTGTAGTAGTGCGAATCCAATAGCTTTATTATACGGTCAGTTTACTCAACAACACCATGAGCGTTCTGTCAACATGAGAATTAT